TTCCTGCTGTTATTATTCATTTATAAAAAGGGCAGATAATAGAGGACTGAAGAGAGACAAAAACACTGATTAGGATAATAATTATGTGTAAAACAAAACAGTTACAATGCAGCTGTTAGTGGCAGCTCATAAAAACATGATGGATAAATTGATGGTTACCTGGTGCCAAATAAGCTGAATAACATCTAAAGCAGCATAGAAGTTGTAGTTTTTCTACATGTATCAAATATCTTTCAGCAGAGGCAGTGAGAACAGAAGACACAGAAGAGCTTTGAGAGTCTGGTACATAATGAGACTGTGCTTACAGGCAGCACTAGACCAGTTGTTGTTTGTTAAAATATCTTAAACAACCTGTGGTAACATTTCCCTGACAAGCAACCTCTTGTGGTTATGCAACTAATGACTGTCCTCAAGAGAAAAACAACAGCTTTCATCTTTTTTTCCCCCAAACTATACATGTTTTATGCTCAGTAGCGAAAGAGTGATACGTTCATCAAGGCACCAGCTCTCTCAAGGCACCACAGTCATTACACCTGCGAATCGTTGCTGCATCTCGTATTCGTTTTCATTAAGGCTCACACGACGGATACATTTCCTGTTTCAGTGCAATCTCCAGAAGGCTTCAGGAAGACTTGCAAATCAGTGTTCACCTTTTTGTTCCACTGACTGTGCAGACGGGGAGTAGAAACTCTGATGCACTGACAAAGTCATTATTCTACCAACATGCAGTTTTGTACAATATCACTCCACCAGACAACAACCTGCAAAATTGCTCTAATAAACTGTTTGCAGTCTGTGGTCGCTGTGTTCAAAATCTTTTTATTACCCACATCAGGACTCACATTTCGTTCTTTTTTGGAAGTGTGGAGCAGACAGGTTTATTTCAACTATGAAGACAATCTGTCCCAAACTTTTCCTTACAAGGGGTCAAGAGATACCTATAAAATACTTTAAATATAAAATAATTCAGTTTATTTTTCTCTAAACTTTTTTTTACTTCCTGGCTTCTAAAAAGTATTAAAGTCAAGTCAAGTCAAGTCAACTTTATTGTCAAGTATGCTATACATGCACTGACACACATAATCAAAAAGAGTATGGTACCCGGAGCATCTCTGACCCGCGGTGTTGTTTTTTTTCCTAAACAGATACCCCCCATGGAGAAGGCTCTCCAGATTTCAGCAATGGCTGGTTAGACCGACATAGCCCGTCCAGTGCACTCGCCACCCTCCTCCTCTCTTTTTCTTTGTCCACCACCCCTGCTTTTCTTTTGTGGTTCGATTCTCACCCCATCCGTCGTTTCCCCGTGCCGCCCTGTCTGTCCTCGGTCTTTCACGTCGCTGCACTCCACCGTTGGCTCCTCTGAGTTGAGGCTGAAAGGCGTAAATCGCTCCAACCAATGGTTGCTGAGTAGACTGACTGTGTCTCAGGCAGCGGTGGTGCGGCTGAAAGCAGAGAGATTCCCTCCTGCCATGGGTGTCTGTCTCATTCGCTGGGAAAATATAGGCCGGAATATTGGTCTCACCAAGAGGTCTGTACTTTGAGTAGCGCCCCTCTCTTTGGTCTTGCTTGTCAAAGTCTACTATCTATTACTAAACATGATCACAATCTGTGATCCCTATGACCGTGTTTTTAGTTGTCGTCTCGTTCTAGTGTTCACACTACGGATTGCGCGTACCTACTCTCGTTATTCTATTCAGATTGTCCTATTGTCCCAATTGTGTGAGAACTAGCTGTTCGTGTTCTGCCATTGTTTGGCGTCTGCACCCGGAGATCAAGTGACAGTTTTACACATCCTAACAACTCGACACAAACATCGGGCACAAACGCAGAGTCTTACCTTTTTAAGCCCCGCATCAAACTAATTCTCTTCTCTCAATGTGTTATCCTCGCAGGGGGTTCTTAATTACCACAGGCTCATTTTGGCCTGTCCCTGGTAGTGTGGGGCCATCTGGAGGGGTAGTTTCTGTGTTTGGAGCGTTGTGCTAATGCTGAACTGGGGTACCACAAATCCGTAAATCTGGACCTCCTACGCCTACATCCTGGAGGCCTTCGGAGGTTTCTTGGCTTTTATTCGGTATGGTAGTTTGTTTTGCTCGTTCTGTTCTCTATACGCATTCTTTTTAACACATTTTCCAGGAATGAACACATAACATGAAAACTCAATACTTAAGACAGCAGTGTACTTTCTTCCATTGCTTGGATAAAAGGGTATATGAAGTACAAGTTTCACTGGGGATAAACAAGTAGGAAAAATTCCACTACAACTGTTATCCTTTCTACTGGTATGTCTGATCACATTCTTTGAAGACTGAGTATTTCACTAAACATCAGAGATAGTTGTTTTTTGAAAGTATGTACGGGTACTGCGCAATTAACATTGGGAAAAGCATATTCCGAAATGAAGATGTGTTTTATAAAGATATTATCTCATTGTTGTATTCACGTTTACAAGTTTTTTTCCTTTAATAAATGATTTAAGAATTTTCAAATCTCTGTAGAAAGCGTGAAGCGTCTCTGTTGAAGTGAAACCAGCTTGTCAGCAGTGATGCTCTGACCTTCTCCAAAACCTGGCTCCAGCCTTTTACCCTAACTGTCATCCCCTTATGACGCGTCCCCCTTATCGCTGCTGTCATCATAGTGAGAGTCTCCTCCCCTGTATCTTGAAAGTCATACTTAAATTACGTGTTGTGAGAGAGCGTGTGTGTGTGTGTGGTGTGTGTGTTGGAAGAGCGTGTGTGTGTGTGTGTAAGACGAGCCGTGGTGTGTGTGTGAGAGAGCGTGGTGTGTGTGAGAGAGCGTGTGTGTGTGTGTGAGAGAGCGTGTGTGTGTGTGAGAGACCGCGCCTGTGTGCTGTGGGTGAAGAGCGCGTGTTGTGTGAGAGAGCGCCGGTGTTGTTGTGGAGAGGAGCGCGGGTGTGGTGTGTGTGTGGTGAGAGAAGCGTGTGTGTGTGTTGTGTGAGAAGAGCGTGTGTTGTGTGTGTGGTGTGTTGGAAAAGAGCGTGAATAGTGTGTGTGTCTGTGTGGTGAGAGCGTGTGTGGTGTGAGAGCGTGTGTGTGTGTGTGTGTGTGGGTGTGTGTGTGTGTGAAGCGTGTGTGTGTGTGGTGTGTTGTGTGCAGAAGTGTGTGTGTGTGGGAAGAGAGCGCCGTG